TGCACAACTGCTATAATTTGGCTTATAAATTGGATAATTTATGCTTTTTTAATGACGGAGGGAGATGTGAGAACTATCACCTGGATCAGCTGTTCTGTACTGACACCAGATTCTTCTTCTTTCCGAGTAATGCCAAAACTACCTTTCAAACCATGATCTTTCTCATCTTGCACTGCTAAATGTGGCATAATATGACGAAAACACAACAGTACGCCGAGTAAAACTTGAGATTTTCTTTCTTCATGGATCGGTATTACCATGCCTAATGAATAAACATTTGTCATCAATTTTACCTGTATCTTGAAGGGATGACAGAGATATGGCTAAAGAAAAGATTCTTGCCCCAAAATTTGTGTGAACAAAAAACTGCACAGACCCATGATATTCTGCAGGTAACGGCCGTTAGCCCGCAGAGCTTACAATCAATTTGCATCAAATCTTTCTCCACCATTATCATGAATTCATTACCATTCTATCAATTCTAATTTTGAACATCTTATATTTCTGGATCAAAATTCATGAATTTATTAAAAAACTAAATTAATATTAAAATTTCTAAATAAATACTATATATATATATATATATATATATATATATATATATATATATATATATATATATATATATATATATATATATACAATAGATAATAATAATGAATTTTGTTTCAATGGTTACACTCAATATTTCATCTTTCATCTTTACATGAGCAGAAAATCTCACGGAGAAATAAATTGGAATATCCAGTTTCCATGGCAACTTCTCAAGCCTAATAGAACCATATCGACTTATGTCAGAATCCTTGTACCAAATTGCATAACTAATGACTTACCCAAGAGCACATTGACAAGCCATGCATAAAACACTGGAGGCTTCCTGGAATGTTGACAGATTGCAGATAATGAACTAGACGCAGTTCTTCTCGTAGCCGCTGATGTGGATTTTAAATTTGGCAGAAAAGTCTTCAGTAAAACCTAAGATTATGTATATAATAATAAAACCTAATGGTTAAACAGCAAAATGATATGAAACACGTCTACAAATGATACAGTTGCAGTAAAATAAGAAACTGATATCAAGTTGACATCTCGTCATTTGGGTTTCTGGCCGTTCTCGGATGCTGCACCAGCGCATGTTTTAACCTGTGTGTCTAATCGGATGTATCCATTTTACTGAGATCTCAATGCAATCTCTCAATGCACATATACAGATTTGTTAGAAAGTATGTTTTCCTAGAGTTCATGAAACTGATGATTCAGATGTTGAAATAACACATTGCATTGCATGTTCCCATTGATTCTAGTTTGTCTGTGGAGCTTTGGGGAAGCAATGTGTTAAAGTGCATGCTACCACCGGTCACTGTTAGCATAGTGGTTGTCGCATCAGACTCATGATCGGAAGACCCAAATTCAAATCCTACCTTAGATTGAACATCAAAAGGATCGACCCTTACCCTGGGTGAGTGTGCCACAGACTCAATGGGAAGGCCAATTCCACAGGCCTAGATTCATTCACTAACGAATGCAACTTTGGGGGAACCTTGGTTAAGGTCCGCAGGTGCTTGTGTTCGACCGAGCCTGGTTGATGCCAGAATAGCGCATTAAAATTGCCATTTGTTGGGAGATTGCCACACATCCCTATCATGTAGTCCCAAACATGAATATGACTTCCGTGACAAAATGCCCTATGTGTCAGCAACTAGCACTTGCAATTACAAAAAAAAAAAAGTCAGACAACAGTGACATTCAATGTCTGGAACTGTCGCCTGGCACAAAAAAACAAGTCATTGAAAATGACACAGTACCCGTTAAATTTTGGAAAGTTCTCTTTGTGCTTGTTATATTTAAAGCAGAGGGGTTGTCGCAAGCGTGTCCTTGAAACTTGAGTTCCAAGTGGCGTATACATCAGATTGTTTATTTACATCAAAACACGTATTCTGTGTAGTAGTAATATGGCCAAAAATAAATATTCGTCCATCTTTGATCTGATTATGAAACACACTGATATGTATGATGTATGTGCCAAATACGAATGAAAATGGTAAATAAATTATGGAAATATAGTAGTAAGGCCAAAAAGTCAGATGGCTGTCAATCGGCCATCCTTGACCAGATTTTGAAACAAATTGACATGGACATGCATCCTAACATGTATAAAGTACATGTATGTGCCAAATTTGAATGAAAACTGACAGAGCACGCATAAAGAGATACCGCATATAAAAAAAAAAAATGGCT